TGACCAAAAATGTATTCGTAACTCTTTTGGTATTAATGTTGGGGAGTGGTCCCTGGTCAAGTGATCCCTGTTCAAAATGGCCCCTGTTTTAAAAAAAGTTCGGGAACCACTGCTGTAGAAGTAGTCCAGCAAAGTTACCAGAGTCAAAACCGGAAAGGGTTCCTGTATTTTGAATATCTCTGCAGATGAGAGAATTTAAGCAGTTGTCGTGTCTCTTACTAAAATTGCCTGTTCTACATAACTCTAGACTCCAGTCACTGTGTGTTGAAAAAATACTTACTCTGGGGGCATAGTACAATGAGTGGTCCAGCCAGAAAAATTGGCTTCTGGACACTTAGAAGGTGCTTGCTTCACTTTGCGTGTACTCCCTGAAACTAGTGTTGATTGGTTCCTGTCATTCTCCCGCTCTCCACCCCACTACCAAGCCAGGGTGATAGATATTGGGGGGAGGGTGAGAGCTGTATCTGACTCAGTGAAATGTAACGCAGCTGGAAGCAGCAACACAGAAACAACATGACTTTGCTTTGAAGGTAAAGTCTCAGCTGGAGCCAAAAAGTTGTATGTATGATCTCTTTGCACATCGAGCCTCCCAGCAGTGTTTGGTTTAATACAATAGTCGAAGATGAAAAAGAATTCGTTGTCTACTCCTTTTATTAAGAAACCTGGCTCCCTTCAGTATACAGAACAAGCATCACGAAAGGAAAAGATCGGATCAATGCTGCTCCTGTATCTATCATGCTGTCTCTTGTTTGCCTAAACGAAACCCAAGCAAATATGCTGAACGTTTGACATTTGGAAGTAGATATGCTGATGGAATCACTTGTTCCTCATCTTGAGAACTAATTTCTATTTGATGCAGAAGACGTGCTGATACTTCACACTTGTGCTCTTGCAATTTGCAATAAAACCCTACAGTTTCATTAAGAGGAGAGGCAAAAATGATGTATTTAGCTACAACCAATTCACATCAGTTGCTGTAGACAAGCAGCGCACCACAGTGAAAACTATTTGGTAAAAAAACATCTCCCTGAACTCTGTGTCCAGGGATTGTGGGAATTGTCCTCCCAAAGGGAACATTTTCAAAGTATAGGCATGGGATTGGATACTGGGGTTGCAGTACTGGTGCAAGAGACCAACATTTCAGGGTTCCTCCTTCCTTTTCCACAATGCAGCTATCTAGATTATAATTGGGGTATGATTTCTGCCATACAAGCAGATAATGTATCTATTGCATATCTGGGTAATAACACTTGCAGAATTTCCCTTTTTAGCACAAACATTAAAGTTCAAGAAGCAGCCTTCAGTTTTCATTCTTGCAACCCTAGCCATATCATTCACATCTTGAAACAGGACCCTGGAACAGGATCTTTGGCAGGGGCTTCTATCGGTACAGTTAAAGGGAACATGATGCTCTAAAGAAAGCCTGCACAACCTACAGCTCTCCAAGTATTTGGGCCCCCAACTTCCAGAAACTCTAGACAGCTTCTCCAATGGCTGGAAATTCTGGTTCACAAATTACTAAGCAATGAAGTCACTCTTGAGTAGTTGTACTTCTTTGCCATGTTTTCAACGAATTTGCCAGCCTGCTGAATGTTTTTATTGTGTTTGCAAATTTGAGCTTTAAATCAAAAATGGATGTCTGGCTTGACAGTAGTACATGTGAAAAAGATCTTGGAGTCCTCGTGGACAACAAGTGAAACATGAGCCAACAATGTCATACAGCAGCAAAAAAAGCCAAAAGGCCTGCAGAAATAGGAGTATAATGTCTAGATCCAGGGAAGTCATGCTACCTCTCTATTCTGCCTTGGTCAGACCACACCTGGAATACTGTGTCCAATTGTGGGCACCACAATTCAAGGGAGACGTTGACAAGCTGGAATGTGAGGGTGCCTAAAATGATCAAGGGTCTGGAAAACAAGCCCTATGAGGAGTGGCTTAAAGAGCTGGGCATGTTTACCCTTCAGAAGAGAAGGCTGAGAGGAGACGTGATGGCCATGTATAAATATGTGAGGGAAAGTCATAGAGAGGAGGAAGCAAGCTTGTTTTCTGCTGCCCTGGAGACTAGGATGTGGAACAATGACTTCAAACTATAGGAAGGAGATTCCACCTGAACATGAGGAAGAACTTCCTAACTGTGAGAGCTGTTCAGCAGTGGCACTCTCTGCCCTGGAGTGTGATGGAGGCTCTTTCTTTGGAAGCTTTTAAGCAGAGGCTGGATGGCCATCTGTTGCAGGTGCTTTGAATGTGGGCAGGGGGGTTGGATTGGATGGCCCACAAGGTCTCTTCCAACTCTATGATTAATGGAAACCCAAGATTAATACAACTACTCCTAAAGGGAATTTGGAAAGTAGGGGTACTTGGTTTATGGGCTGTGCAGGGGTGGGGGGGAGGCAGTCAAAAATCAGTCATTCAGTGTAATTGCAAGGAACGTGGATAGTAGTTGAGTTAGCCAACTGGAAAAGCCAGAGCTGGAAAGTTTCAATAAAGAACTAATGCTGAGCTAAGGAGGATGTGGTGGCAGTGGCTGTTGCTGCCTTTCTTGTGCTGCACAAGGCTAAGAAGATGAAATGGTGTCCTCTACTGTCACAATTGCTGCTGCGTACCACCCACAACATATTGCTAAGGGCCACGTCATCACCCTCCTCCTCATCTTTGATGCTCCCACTTCTTTCACTTAGCCTACCAGAGCCTTTGCTAGCCATGCTGAGTTGCATCAACCATTCTCTTGAATTCCACATTTTGCCTTATACTACACTTCAGAGGGGAAAAAACAAGACAGGAATAGGGAAAGGAAATGAATATTATTTTTAAAGCACGTGGGCAAACGGCAGAGTATGGCCCCCTTGCTTAAAGTAGCACAATTGAAAAGGATGCCTTGGTCCTTTTCTGTCGTGTCCACCGAATAGCCAGAGCCAGGAAAAGTGACCTTTAAGTATTATAATTCTTAGAAAGCCAAGCTTTGAAAATATCAGAGGTTAATTCAGATCTTCTATGCTGCTTAGTAAACAGAGCCTACACCTGTTTCTCTTATCTGTGTTGCTAACAGATCCATTTATTCAAGCCGCTGCTGGGTGGAGATAACTCTGGAGAAAATGTTAAGCACACATTTATGCTATTGTATTGATTTGTTTATGGGATATATTCATGCATTCCTGGAAAATTGGAATGCATTTGTAAGATTTTGTGGGAAGGGTATTGTCAATGTTTGGATTATGTAAAGTTTTTCAATCCCATTCAAAGCATCTGTGATGCAGCGGACCGAAGCGTTTGCTGCAGGTGGCTGACATGGAAAAGCCGCATTGCCCTTCCTATCTACCTTTACCCAGGCAGAATTCTGGGACATATAATGCAATGTTTATGTGCATTATATTGGAGTGGAATTGCAGATTTCATATTGTATTTAGATTATCTGGAAGATGGTGGACTCTTCCAACTACGCAGTTATAGCACTATGATTCCACACAAACTGCCATGGCAACAACCAATGGAATCCTGGGGTTTGTTGTTTGGTGAGGCACTAAAAGCTGGGAATTCTAAGTGTCTCACTCCTCCCTACTATTCCGGCAGACAAAAAAACCTGCAAATTGGTGTTTGCAGAAGGATGTTTTCAGGGGGATGTGATATATATGTTTCTAATTTTTATTTTTTAAATCTTTCAAATGAATCATCTCATTAAAAAAATTGAATATGTAAAAATTGAATTACATATTATGTTTGCTATATGATCAGCCCTCTATATTTTCTGCAGTTAGTGTCACAGGACCCCATGAAAATGAAAAACAGCGAATCAAAAATTGCTGTGAGAAAACTTTTCCAGGAAACACTGTTTTTGAGCATGATGTTATGTTCAACTTCTGCTGGAAGTGGAAAATAAAATCACACTTAGGCAGTGCTCCATAACCTGTGGCCCTCCTGGTATTTTGGTTTTCTCTCAGAATTCCTGCCCATTGGACTAGCTGGCCAGGGCTTCTGGAAGTTGGAGGCCCAAACACCTGGAGGAATACAAGTTGTGGTGGCATGCCTAGAGATTCCTAGAGCAGTGGTTCTCAACCTGTGGGTCCCCAGATGTTTTGGCCTTCAACTCCCTGAAATCCTAACAATGGGTAAACTTGCTGGGATTTCTGGGAGTTGTAGGCCAAAACACCTGGGGACCCACAGGTTGAGAACCACTGTCCTAGAGAGATATTCTCTAGCTTCTCCAGCATCACCCTTCCATTAGAGCAATGTTTCTCAGACTCCACTCTTCCAGTTGTTTTGGTCTTCATCTTAAAGAGCTGGGTATGTTTAGCTTGCATAAGAAAAGGTTGAGAGGAGCCATTATAGCCATCTATAAATATCTGAAAGGATATCATAAGGAAAACGGAGCAGGCTTGTTTTCTGCTGCAATGGAAATTAGGACTTGGAGCAATGAGTTCAACGTACAGGAAAGGAGGTTCCATCAGAATATGAGGAAGAACTTCCTGAATTTATGATCTGTTCAGCAGTGGAACTTTCTGCCTCGTAGTGTGGTGGAAGTTCCTTCTTTGGAGGCTTTTAAACAGAGACTGGATGGCCATCTGTCAGGGGTGATTTGTGCTTTTCCTACATGATGGGACTAGATGCCCCATAATTCTATTATTCATCTCCCAGAATTCCCACTCATTTTACCAGCTGATAGGAATTGTGGGAGCTGAAGTCCAAAACACCTGGAGGAGAAGAGTTTAAAAAACAATGCATTAGAGGTTGGACATAAATTATAGATTCCCACAGACAACATTTTAATCAAATCTATGAATAATCAAATCCACAAAAGTCAAACATGCAAATATGGAGGGTCAACTGTGATCTGTTTCAGTTTACATTGTAAACTGCCTTTGATCTTCTCTTGATAGAAAGGTAGAATGTAAATTAAATGCATGAATGTTTTGGTTCACTGCTCTATGTATCTAGAAAGCTTCCATGTTGATCTCCTTTTGTTCACCTTCTCTCTTCCTCTTTCTCTCTCTCTCTTTTCTATCCAGCACCCAAAGACAATGAAGAACGGGTCTTTAGGGAGCGGATGCGCCCCAGGAAGCGCCAGGGGGCAGTGCGACGCCGGGTCCACCAAGTCAACGGGCACAAGTTTATGGCCACCTATCTTAGACAACCAACCTATTGTTCACATTGCCGAGACTTTATATGGTAAAGAAATTATAAGGAATCATTTATTTTGTTGACTGGTATGTATTTGCATAGTAGTATAATTGTCAGCTATCATTTTGGTCAGATAGCTTTAAGGAGAAAATAGCTCAATCATCATGGTTATTATCACTGATCATTAACATTAGCAAATGCATATGATAGACCACAAATGTTTAACACCTTGTAGCAGTGAGGTGAAATTAAGCTGTAATCATAGTTGTATTGTGTGGAAAGTGAGACACAATCAATACAGAGTGATTTATTTCTGCCTAAACACTCTAGTTACTAAGACCATATCTACACAGCCATATAATGCAGTTTGAACTGCGTTGAACTGGATTGTATGAGTCTACAACACCATATACAGTAATTTAGTTCAGAGCAGTTATTTTGCATTCTGAAACTAGATGATATGGCAGTGTAGATGGGGCCCATTCATACTACATAGTTATAGTACTATGATTCCACTTGAACTGCATGATTGAACCCTATTGAATCCTGGGATTGTAGTTTGGGAAGGGACAAGAACTCTCTTGCTGAAAGGTTTAAATGCTCCTTCCAGCATTGCAAATCACAGTCTTCTGTGAAATGTTGGCAGAGCAATTAAAGTGGAATAATAGTGCTGCAGTTGTGTAGTATGAATGGCACCATCTTATCTTTGAAGCTAAGCAGATTCTGGCCTGCTTAGCTTCAAGGAAGTTAGTTCCTGGAAGACGGACTGTGAAGAAATACTAGGTGCTGTAGGCTATATTTCAGAAGAAGGAAATTTCATAAAGTTACAATTTGTCTGACAAGTTAAAACAGGCATGAGCAAACTTCGATCCTCCAGGTGTTTTGGACTTCAACTCCCACAATTCCTAACAGCCAGTAGGCTGTTAGGAATTATGGGAGTTGAAGTCCAAAACACCTGGAGGATCGAAGTTTGCCCATGTCTGAGTTAAAATGTCCACAGCCTATTCAGTGAGTGGTGATTGCAACTTATGTCTCTTTAAATAACTTGAAGTCCATGTGACTGGTATCACTTAGCAAGTGTAGAGAACTAAGTTTCAATTGAAAAACTTCAGAACTTCTCCCACTATGCCTTTAAATTCCAGGTTTTGGTTCTGGTTTTATAACCTCAACTAGCAATGTCCCTATGGAGACTTGCTCCAGCAAAGGATCACCGCCTTGTCGGGGCGCTGGAGCTTGAGCACCTCAATGATGTCATGAGCGAAACCGTGAAGGGACACCCAAGACGGGACGGTTGTGGCAGAGAGGTCAGACCAAGCGTGATCCCTGGGGAAGGCAATGGCAAACCACTCCAGTATCCTTGCCAAGAAAAACTAAATGGACCAGTACAACCAGAGATATGTCGGTATGCCATTGGAAGATGGGACTCCCAGGTCGGAAGATGGCCAAAATGCTGCTGGGGAGGAGCAGAGGATAAGTTCAACTAGCCCCAGATGTGATGACGCAGCTAGCTCAAAGCCGAAAGGAAGGCTAGCGGCCGACGGTACTGGAGGTGAACGACTAATCCGATGCTCTAAAGATCAACACACCATAGGAACCTGGAATGTAAGATCTATGAGCAAGGGCAAATTGGATGTTGTTATTGGTGAGATGTCAAGACTAAAGATAGACATTCTGGGGGTCAGCGAACTGAAATGGACTGGAATGGGCCACTTCACATCAGATGACCACCAGATCTACTACTGCGGACAAGAGGAACATCGAAGAAATGGAGTAGCCTTCATAATTAATAAGAAATTCGCTAAAGCGGTGCTTGGATACAACCCAAAAAATGACAGAATGATCTCAATTCGAGTGCAAGGAAAGCCTTTCAACATAACAGTGATCCAAATATACGCCCCAACCACAGCTGCTGAAGAAGCAGAAGTAGATCAGTTCTATGAGGATCTGCAGGAACTACTGGATAATACACCAAAAAGAGACATTATTTTCATTACAGGAGACTGGAATGCCAAGGTGGGAAGTCAAATGACAACAGGGATCACAGGCAAGCATGGTCTGGGAGAACAAAATGAAGCGGGACGCAGGCTGATAGAATTTTGCCAGGAAAACTCGCTGTGTATAACGAATACTCTCTTCCAACAACTTAAAAGACGGCTTTACACATGGACCTCACCAGACGGTCAACACCGAAATCAGATTGACTACATCCTTTGCAGCCAAAGGTGGCGGACATCCATCCAGTCGGTGAAAACAAGACCTGGGGCTGACTGTAGCTCAGATCACGAACTTCTTATTGCCCAATTTAGAATAAAACTAAAGAGATCAGGGAAAATACACAGACCAGTTAGATATGATCTCACTAACATTCCTAGCGAATAGACAGTGGAAGTGAAGAACAGATTTGAAGGACTAGATTTAGTAAACAGAGTCCCAGAAGAACTATGGACAGAAGTCCGAGACATTGTTCAGGAGGCGGCAACAAAGTACGTCCCAAAGAAAAAGAAAACCAAGAAGGCAAAATGGTTGTCTGCTGAGACACTGGAAGTAGCCCAAGAAAGGAGGAAAGCAAAAGGAAACAGGGATAAGGGGAGATATGCCCAGTTAAATGCGCAATTCCAGAGGTTAGCCAGAAGAGATAAGGAACTATTTTTAAATAAGCAATGCATGGAAGTGGAAGAAGACAACAGAATAGGAAGGACAAGAGACCTCTTCCAGAAAATTAGAAACATTGGAGGTAAATCTCAGGCAAAAATTGGTATGATAAGAAACAAAGATGGCAGGGACCTAACAGAAGCTGAAGAGATCAAGAGAAGGTGGCGAGACTATACAGAAGATCTGTATAGGAAGGATAATAATATTGAGGATAGTTTTGACGGTGTGGTGAATGAATTAGAACCAGACATCCTGAGGAGTGAGGTTGAATGGGCCTTAAGAAGCATTGCTAACAACAAGGCAGCAGGAGAGACGGGATCCCAGCTGAACTGTTTAAAATCTTAAAAGATGATGCTGTCAAGGTGATGCATGCATATGTGCCAGCAAATATGGAAAACACAAGAATGGCCATCAGATTGGAAAAATCAACTTATATCCCCATACCAAAAAAGGGAAATGCGAAAGACTGCTCAAACTTCCGTACAGTGGCCCTTATTTCTCATGCCAGTAAGGTAATGCTCAAGATCCTGCAAGGAAGACTCCAGCAATACATGGAGCGAGAGTTGCCAGACGTTCAAGCTGGGTTTAGAAAAGGCAGAGGAACGAGAGACCAGATTGCCAATATCCGCTGGATAATGGAGAAAGGCAGGGAGTTTCAGAAAAACATCTACTTCTGCTTCATTGACTATTCTAAAGCCTTTGACTGTGTGGATCATAATAAATTGTGGCAAGTTCTAGGTGGGATGGGCATACCAAGCCACCTTGTCTCTCTCCTGAGGAATCTGTACAAGGACCAAGTAGCAACAGTCAGAACTGACCACGGAACAACAGAGGTTCAAGATTGGGAAAGGCGTACGGCAAGGCTGCATCCCCTCACCCAACCTTTTTAACTTGTATGCAGAACACATCATGCGATGTGCGGGGCTGGATGAATGCAAAGCTGGGGTGAAAATTGCTGGAAGAAACATTAACAACCTCAGATATGCAGATGATACCACTCTGATGGCCAAAAGCGAGGAGGAGCTGAGGAGCCTTCTAATCAAGGTGAAAGAAGAAAGCGCAAAAGCCGGGTTGCAGCTAAACGTCAAAAAAACCAAGATTATGGCAACAAGAATGATTGACAACTGGAAAATAGAGGGAGAAACCGTGGAGGCCGTGACAGACTTTGTATTTCTAGGTGCAAAGAGTACTGCAGATGCAGACTGTGGCCAGGAAATCAGAAGACGCTTACTTCTTGGGAGGAGAGCAATGTCCAGTCTCGATAAAATAGTGAAGAGTAGAGACATCAGACTGGCAACAAAGATCCGCCTAGTCAAAGCCATGGTATTCCCTGTAGTAACCTACGGATGTGAGAGCTGGACCTTAGGGAAGGCTGAGCGAAGGAAGATCGCTGCTTTTGAGCTGTGGTGTTGGAGGAAAGTTCTGAGAGTGCCTTGGACTGCGAGAAGATCCAACCAGTCCATCCTCCAGGAAATAAAGCCCGACTGCTCACTGGAGGGAAAGATACTAGAGACAAAGTGGAAGTACTTTGGTCACATCATGAGGAGACAGGAAAGCCTAGAGAAGACAATTATGCTGGGGAAAGTGGAAGGCAAAAGGAAGAGGGGCCGACCAAGGGCAAGATGGATGGATGGCATCCTTGAAGTGACTGGACTGACCTTGAGGGAGCTGGGGGTGGTAACGGCCGACAGGGAGCTCTGGCGTGGGCTGGTCCATGAGGTCACGAAAGAGTCGGAGACGACTGAACGAATGAACAACAACAACATGGAGACTTGTCCACAGCTGCATGGTATACAGTAGACTTCTGCAGTGGTGAGAGGTTCCCTCTTGTCCTTCGTTCAGCAAAGGACAAGAGGGATCCCCTTTCCCTAGTTTCCAACAAACCTCACAACCTCTGAGGATGCCTGCCATAGATGCAGGCAAAATGTCAGGAGATAATGCTTCTGGAACATGGCCAGACAGACTGGAAAACTTACAACAACCCAGTGATTCTGGCCATGAAAGCCTTCAACAATTCATGATAGTATTAAGAGGTGAATCCCAGGAAGCAAGAACACGTCTCTAGTTTATCAAACTCCTAACTGACTTGTCTCCTGCATTTTCAGGCTCCAATGCACTGCCATTTAATCCAGTTTCTGAATCCAGATTATATGGCAGTGTAGACTCATATGATCCAGTTCAAAACAGATAATATAGATTCAGAAACTGGATTATATGTCAGTGTAGATACAGCCATATTCTTATCTCAGACAAGATCTGATTTACCAAAACTTTGATGATGAGTACTGCTGAAAAACAATTTGGCATTCCCTTGTGCTGTACTTGTTTTGTTTGAAAAGGCACTTTTAAAATTTTGTTCGATGGTCTATATATAATCTTATGGCTCTGATTAAGAGAAGTATATAAAAATAAAGTAAGAGGTGGTGAGACGGTTGTAAGGCGGTGAGTAATTTGTTTATCTTTTCCTTTAAGCACTAAAACAAAGGAGGAGGAAAAAACAACCAAATATTTTCCAAACCTTATCATGTATTACATCCAATACAGGCATATCTGCACCCATTAATGACTAAGTTCTCCAAAGCTTAACAATACAATGAATCCTTTCTGACTGGCTGTAGAGACACATACAGCTTCTTCTGTCATATAATCATGGTTTTGTGTTTTTTAGGGGGATATTTCAGAAAAAATCCTGAAGTGCCAAGAATCCATTAGAACTTGACATTTCAACAAAGAATAGCTTGGTGGCATTTTACAAAACGTAGGAGGGAAAAAAGCAAGAGCTAGTTTCAGCTGTGAGAATTCCATCTGTGCAGCCAAGAGAAGATTGCCCTGAAATAAATAGGAATGCAGTAAGCAATGGCCCTCCACGCAATTTATTTGCCCAGGACTGAAATTCTGCTGATTGCTTTTGGGGTCATTGCAGAAGGAGGGATTCAATACCTTCTTGGGTACAGCTCCACCCCTATAGGCACCAATTGTCTGGATATTCATGCCCACCAAAAGCAGTAAGATCAGCCTTGGCCACCAACCACTATCTTAACAAATTGGCCAAAATCTATGCTCATCTAGCAATGCTGTTTCATTGTGGACTTGCTTAGCCTATTTTTCTTATGTTGAAGCATGATGCGGCAGCTTAAAAAGCCAATGTTATTCTATGTTGCATCAATAGGAACATAGTGTCAAGATCAATGAAAGTCATATTCCCAGTCTGTTCTGCTTTGGACAGACGTCACCTGGAATAATAACACTATGTCCAGTTCTGGTCACCACAATTCAGAAAGGATACTGACAAGGTGGAATGCGTCCAGAGAAAGATGACCAAAATTATCAAAGCTCTGGAAATTGTGCCCTTTGAGGAATGACAGGGAGCTGGGTTTAGCTTGGAGAAGATAATTCTGAGTGGGAATGTGAAAGCCATATTTGGATATTTGAAAGGATGTCACAGTAAGGAGGGACAAATGTGTTTTCTACTGCTTTGGAGACTAGAATACAATAGAGCAATGAATTCAAATGGCAGGAAAAAGAACTATTCAGCCTTTTGCCAGCCTTAGCCTGATGGAAGGACATGGTCTCCTAAATGGCCTCACTCATTCTCCCTGACTCCTTGACATGCTATATTTGCACTGTTGGGTGCATTACATTTGAGGGCAAATCCCATTTTTGTAATGTGCACCTTCAAAATTGAGGTGTGCATTACATTTGATGGTGCATTATACTTTAGTAAACATGGTCATAAAGCCTTCTTTATTTATAGATAATTCCAATTATCCTCTAGCACAGTGTTTCTCAACCTTCCTAATGCCTCAACCCCTTAATACAGTTCCTCATGTTGTGGTGACCCCCTACCATAACATTATTTTCGTTGCTACTTCATAACTGTAATTTTGCTACTGTTATGAATCATAATGTAAATATCCAATATGCAGGATGTATTTTCATTCGCTGGAGCAAATTTGGCACAAATACCCAATATACCCAAATTTGAATACTGGTGGGGTTGGAGGGGGATTGATTTTGTCATTTGGGAGTTGTAGTTGCTGGGATTTATAGTTCAACTACAATCCAAGATCATTCTGAACTCCACCAACGATGGAATTGAACCAAACTTGGCACACAGAACTCCAATGACCAACAGAAAATACTGGAAGAGTTTGGTGGGCATTGATCCTGAGTCTTGGAGTTGTAGTTCACCTACATCCAGACAGCACTGTGGACTCAAACAATGATGGATCTGGACCAAACTTGGCATGAATACTCAATATGCCCAAATGTGAACACTGGTGGAGTTTGGGGAAAACATACCTTGACATTTGGGAGTTGTAGTTTCTGGGACTTATAGTTCACCTACAATAAAAGAGCATTCTGAACCCCACCAATGATAGAATTGGGCCAAACTTCCCACACAGAACCCTGTGACCAACTGAAAGTACTGTGTTTTCTGATGGTATTTGGCGACCCCTCTGAAACCCCCTCACAACACCCCCCCCCTTCCAGGGGTCCCAACCTCCAGGTTGAGAAACACTATTCTAGCAGTCTTTCAATTGCAGAGGATTTAGTGCTCAGAACTTCCAAGTGTAATGCCTCCCTCTTATTTATATTTATGTCTATGATAATTTAGAAACTTTTCCCAGCAGTGCCCAGTAGTTCATAGATTTATTTACTCAGTTCTCTTTAATTATTGATGAGAATTTGTCAGCCATTTAATTTTGTTTCAGTTGTAGTCATTGGTTCTTTCCCCTCAGTTTTGTGCATAGATTTCTGGCTGCCAGAATCATATAAGGCAGTACTCTTTAATATGACATCTTAATGTGCTCATCTGGAATACCCAAGATAAACACTTCTGGTTTCAGTTTATCCTTATCTTAAATATTTCTTGTGTATCTTTGTATCCATCTCCAAAAAAATTTCTCCTTATTTCATGTCCAGCACATGTTGTAGAATGTGCCTTCATGTGGTCTGCATTTTAACATGTATTTTGCAATTCTTTATATATTTTGGATAGTTTTTCTATTCTCATTTTCTAATATGCTCTCTCGTGTCTTCTCATTCACAGGGGAGTAATAGGAAAGCAAGGGTACCAATGTCAAGGTAAGGAGTTTGCATTGCACATACCAATGAAATACTTAAGGAGCAGGCTTATTTGCCATTTCTTTAAAAAGTGATAGGGTCATTCTGGTGTTTGCCGTCTATGTTCTTGTTAATTCTTCTGACTCCTTTGTGTGCCTTGCAGCCAATCATAGAGCTTGCAAATGATGTGTTGCAAGTTGTAATGGTGATATGTTACAGTCCCTTGATTTTAACAAGTAAAGTAACTCACAAAGTCATTTCCTTACTAAACATAATGAATAATATTACACCTGAAACATTGTTCTTGAGCCTTCATTTGAATGGATTTGGGCCCATTTTTATATTTCAAGAGTATTTTAAAAAACTGAAAAGTAATGTATTTCATTAATTCTACAGTGCATTAATTCTACATTACCATATATTCCGGCATATAAGACGACTGGGGGTATAAGACGACTCCCAACTTTTCCAGTTAAAATATAGAGTTAAGACGACAGCCATGCATAAGACTACACCCGCATATAAGACGACCCCTGACTTTTGAGAAGATTTTCTTGGGTTAAAAAGTAGTCTTATACGCCAGAATATACTGTAATTCTACCTACAAGGGTTTTTTTTTTCAGGAGCGACTCAAAAAAATGCAAGTCGCTTCTGGTGTGAGAGAATTGGCTGTCTGCAAGAACATTGCAAGAACATTGCCCAGGGGACACCCAGATGTTTTACCATCCTGTGGGAGGCTTCTTTCATGTCCCCGCATGGGAACCTGGGGTTGACAGATGGGAGCTCACCCCGCTCCCCAGATTCGAACTACCAACCTTTCGATCAGCAGTTCATCTGATCTGATCACTGGGGGTTCCATCTATCGTTATAGATCCCCTACAGTTATAGAAGTAAAGTCTTTTAGACCTTCTCACCCACTTCCCTTAGTGTTGGAGAAGCAATCTTTTAGAATTTCCTTTATTTAAGTGCTCTCCTTCACTGTGACGAAAATAATAAATTGGCCTTTGTTAGATTGATGGTTTCTCTTGCTTACAGTTTGCACTTGCGTAGTCCACAAGCGATGCCATGAACTTATCATAACAAAATGTGCTGGCTTGAAGAAGCAGGAAGCCCCCGACGAGGTAAGTGCTCTAGATAAAAGTAAACTGTCAGCAAGTTGTTGTTTAGTTTTTTATATATATTGTTTGTTCAAGAGACTGCCACCTCCCATTTGAAAACAAAATGAGTCTTCATTCTACGGTCCATTTAAAGACTCATTTACTTTTTCATGTACAGAGAACTGCTATGGCAGGTTTATGCAAGAATCATCTCCATTATAGAATTAATGCAGTTTAATACCACTTTGACTGCCATGGCTCAGTGCTATGGAATCCTGGAAGTTTTAGTTTGGTAAGACATTAGCAGTCTTTGGCAGAGGAAGGCCGTGGCTTCAAAGTGGTGTTGAACTGCATTAATTCTACAGTATAGATGCAACCAAAGTTAATGTTTGCTAGTCTAAAATATAAATAAAAAGTTTTATTTGGATCTTAGAGCTAAGCATTTCTACATGTAATTATGTAATTGTTAGCTGGGTAATTCCCATTGTTTCTAAACCATTTATTCAGTAATATTGAACTGAATTAATTTTCTAATGTAGATGCACCCTAGGAGTGATAATCTGAAAGAGGTAACTTTTCCAAGGCTGCAATGGAAATGAGCATTATTCTTTTTATGATTTTTCAGTATACTTTTGTTGTTTTTGTGTGCCTTCAAATAGTTTCAGACTTAAAGTGACATCTCATGGGTTTTACTGGGGCTGAGAAAGTGTGATTCACCCAGTAGGTTTCCCAGGCATCATACTTACATGCCACTTAATATAATAATATTTTTATGTATTCCCATATTTATCAAAACTTAATAAGAACAACCAGACACAGCTGTAAAAAAGGGAAAAACGTTTAGAAGATTGTTAATCTAGAACTAGGTCACAGAGTGACTATTTAATCATCCATGGTTCCAAAACTATATTGTTCTATATCTATTATAGCTTTTTCCTATGCCATATTTTCCCCATCTGCCTTCTTTTGTATCCTTTCCCCATTGTGTATATTAGTAAAGGGCAGATACAGATGTGAAAATTAGTGACTAAAAGTCTTGCAAGTCACTATCAGACAAAGAAGGTGGAATTTGAAGAAATGCCATTAAATTAAAATTAGGACATTTTGACATTCAAGTCTTTAAGATTTTAATTTATTTCCACATGTACAAGAATGGCCATGATTGGAGATACATAGTGTAGTATCCCAACATACACTTCTCTCCCCATTAGGTGAGGATATCAGGTGGAAAACGTTGTTTTCTGTATAGAAATTGGTATAGTTAGGGATTTGTCATATGCAAAATTTATTCATGTTTAGAATTTAACAATTTATTCAAGAAATGAAGTACTCCTCGCACAGACATTTTTCATGGACCAAGTCCTGAACTGTGAAAATGTTCACCAGTTTCCTGAAATTCAAGCCACATACATTTTGATATTTTCTCAACTGTTTTGAATATCCTTTCCATCATGTCAGTGTCTCCAGACCTTTATTGAAACTTTCCAACTGTGGCTTTTCCAGTTGTCTAACTCAACTACTGTCCAAGTTCCTTGCAATTACACTGTATTGCTGATATCCCCCCGCCCCCCGCAAAAAAAACCATCAAGCATCTTTTTGCTCCCCACACACATTTTAGAACCCCTCCTTTACAAATTCCTTTTAGGAGTAGTTGTATCAATCCTGGGTTTTCATTAATCATAGAATCATAGAGTTGGAAGAAACCTTGTGGGCCATCCAGTCCAACCTCCTGCCAAGAAGCAGGAAAATTGCCATCAAAGCATCCCTGACAGAACCCTGCAGCCTGTCCTGTTGATAATCTTCTGGTCCTAGTGCTGTTGTGACTATATAAGGATCATCTTGGCCCCATCTACACTGCCATATAATCCAGTTTCTGAATGCAGATTAACTGCATTGAACTGGATTATATGGCAATGCGAACTCATAAAAACCAGTTCAAAGCTGTTAATCTACATTCTGAAACTGGATTATATGGCAGTGTGGATCCAGTCCTGCAGAGCTGAGTCTGGTGATAATGAGCTCATCAGTCATTGACTGGAAAAGGACTGTGGTCAGTGTGGCATTTGGTGGTGGTGTCATGTTTTCCTGCTTTCTCTACAGGTGGGCTCCCAGCGCTTCAGTGTCAACATGCCTCACAAGTTCAGCATTCACAATTACAAAGTGCCCACCTTCTGTGACCACTGTGGTTCGTTACTCTGGGGTCTTCTGAGACAAGGTTTACAATGTAAAGGTAAGGTGCTCTTCTACTGATACGTCTTTATTTCCCACTTGAATGGTTTAGTTTTGCAGTGTAATCCAGTACATGCCTAGTCAAGAAAAAGTCCCATTGTTCTCACTGGGATTTATTGCCAGGTAAATGGAGTTAGGATGGCAGCTTTAGCACATGGATGGTTTCGATGCTGTTGTTTGAATCCAGTCCAGGTTTAATTCCCTTTTTTTTTTTCAGGAGCCATCCAAGGTGTAAACCCTGTTTTGGGAGACAGGGATTAGCATTTTGGTAGCTCACCTAAAGTTCTGGGCAAATTCCAGAAGAGTTCCATGGAAGCCATCAGCTGTCATTGACTATAGCCTTTCTATTAGTTCAATATACAGTGTATAGGTGTCTCCCACTTTTCAGTGACCCACTTTTTCACCATTTTGAATGATACCAAGAATCTGTACATTATTTAGTTATGTTCCACATTTATACCCTGCCTTTCTCAACCCCGGAGGGGACTCGAAGCAGCTTTACATATAGGCAACTATTCAGTGCCTTAAAACAATGTACAATTAATAATAATAATAATAATAATAATAATAATAATAATAATAATAATTTTATTTTTGTATTCTGCCACCATCTCCCCGAAGGGACTCAAAGCAGCTTTCATGAGTACAAGCCCAGTCAAACACAGATTAAAATGTAACACAGTAAAAATTCACAAATATAAACATCATAAAAACATATCAATCAAGATCAACCAGCAAGGTTGCTGTAAGATTTTTGGGCTGTCTGGCCATTTTCCCGAAGTATTATCTCCTGATGTTTCACCTGCATCCTCTGAGGATGCCTGCCATAGATGCAGGTGAAACATCGGGAGAGAATGCTTCTGCAAAATGGCCATACAGCCCAAAAAACTTACAGCAACCCAGTGATTCCAGTCATGAAACCCTTCAACAATACATTGAACAACCAGTAGCCTAACATAGTGGCCATATACTGAGCTAAGGGGTGAGGCAGAAGCTTGTGCAATACGGTTTTGAGGACAGGGCTGGTGAGAAAGTGCAGATGATACATTTGGGCTAGAAGGGCCAAATTAATTTAAGCAATACAACTATAGGGCAGGGACAGTGGTAAAGTGCAAGAGCCAGATATTGAATTATGAATTATGGCTGGAGGGACCAAAATTATCTCGTGAACCGATTAGTCAAAAGCACGGTGGAAGATCCACGTTTTTTGTTCTTTACAGAAGGTGGCCAAGGTGGGTGCCAATCTGATCTCCCTGGGGAGATCAGGTTAAAATAGACATTTTGAACTAGAATTTAAAGCACATTAAAGCACTTAAAAACATTACATTCACTATTAACCATGTTATCCGCAATTGTAATCTGGGCCGTTCCAATAATCGTTACACATAATTCCATATCCATCTGTTGCACTACAATTACTCTCTGAAGGCTTGATCCCAAAGCCACATTTTCACTCTCTTTCGGAAGGTCAGGAGGGAAGGGGCTAATATAATATTCAACACCTGGTCCACTCTTTCATTAGTTAGCAAAATGAAACCAAATTAAAACAATTCCTGCATGACTGTGCTGCTGGTGATTTCAGTTATACCCACCTTCTTTCTAATACCCCAAAGGAATTAGATAATCAACATAAAAACACAAATTAAAAACTACAAGTTAAAAAAATACCTAAACCAGGAGGGGGCAAAACGCAGCCTTCCAGATGTTGTTGGAGCCAATAACATCCTTCACCATCATCTTTTCTGGCTAGAAATGACTGGAGTTTCCTCCAAAATCCTTTCAAGGTTGATCCTTTCTAACTCTGACCTAGTAGGAAAGGCTTTTGTAATATATTATCTTAAATAATTTTCAATTATTTAGGATAATATATTACTTACTTTACTTACTTACTTAGGCGATCCCTCGTTGGACGAGTAAGATGGTCTTCCATTATGGATTTCCTTGTGGGTCCGTATGTGGCTGTGGAGCCCTATTCTTGCTCTGCATCTTCTTCCGCAGTGAGGGCATTGGTTTCCAGGTGGAAGGTGGTCCCGGTCGGGGTTGGCTTGACGCGCCTTCCTCCTGGCACGTTTCACTCTTTCACCCTCCACTCGTGCCTCCTCAAATTCTGCAGCACTGCTGGTCACAGCTGTCCTCCAGCTGGAGCGCTCAAGGGCCAGGGCTTCCCAGTTCTCAGTGTCTATGCCAGAGTTTTTAAGGTTGGCTTTGAGCCCATCTTTAAATCTCTTTTCCTGTCCACCAACATTCCTTTTTCCGTTCTTAAGTTCGGAGTAGAGCAACTGCTTTGGGAGACGGTGGTCAGGCATCCGGACAACGTGGCCGGCCCAGCGGAGTTGATGTTGGAGGACCATCGCTTCAATGCTGGTGGTCTTTGCTTCTTCCAGCACACTGACGTTTGTCCGCTTGTCTTCCCAGGAGATTTGCAGGATTTTCCGGAGGCAGCGCTGATGGAAACGTTCCAGGAGCTGCATGTGACGTCTGTAGACAGTCCACGTCTCACAGGCATATAGCAGGGTTGGGAGGACAATAGCTTTATAAACAAGCACCTTGGTATCCCTACGGATGTCCCGGTCCTCAAACACTCTCTGCTTCATTCTGGAAAATGCTGCACTTGCAGAGCTCAGGCGGTGTTGTATTTCGGCGTCGATGTTGACTTTGGTGGAGAGGTGGCTGCCAAGGTAGCGGAAATGGTCCACATTTTCTAATGTGACACCATTAAGTTGTATTACTGGCATTGGAGAGGGATTGGCTGGCGACTGCTGGAACAGCACCTTGGTTTTCTCAATGTTCAGTGACAGGCCGAGCTTCTCATATGCTTCTGCGAAGGTGTTTAGAGTGGCTTGTAGATCTTCTTCTGAATGCGCACAGACGACATTGTCATCAGCATACTGGAGTTCTATAACAGATGTTGTTGTAACCTTGGTTTTGGCTTTCAGTCTGCTGAGGTTAAACAGCTTGCTATCGGTCCGATAGATGACTTCCACTCCGGTGGGAAGCTTCCCGTCAACAAGGTGAAGTATCATAGCGATGAAGATGGAGAATAAAGTTGGGGCAATAACACATCCCTGTTTGACACCAGATTCCACCTTAAATGGGTCACTTTGGGAGCCATTGCTGTCCAAGACTGTTGCCATCATGTCATCATGGAGGAGCCGCAGGATGTTCACAAATTTGCTGGGCACCCGATTTTGTGGAGGATGGTCCAGAGAGCGCTGCGATTCACTGTGTCGAATGCCTTTGCAAGGTCGATAAATGCCATGTACAGAGGTTGGTTTTGTTCTCTGGCATTTTTCTTGGAGCTGTCTTGCAGTGAAGATCATGTCCACGGTTCCTCTGGAGGGGCGGAAGCCGTTCTGGGATTCTGGGAGGGTGTCTTCTGAGAGGGGCAGAAGGCGGTTTGCAAGGATTCTCGCGAGGATTTTCCCAGCGGAGGTTAGAAGGGAGATACCTCGATAGTTTCCGCAGTCTGTTCTTTCCCCTTTTTTGAAGAGGGTGATGATGGTGGCGTCCTTGAAATCTGCTGGGATTTTCTCGGTCACCCACACTTTTTCTATGAGCTGGTGGAGTTGGTGTGTCAGCTCAGGTCCTCCCTCTTTAAAGATTTCAGCAGGGATCCCATCTGGTCCACTGGCTTTGTTATTCTTCTGTTGGCTGATGGCATTGCTAACTTCTTCCAAACTAGGCAGTGCTGCAAGCTCGTCCCTGGTTTGTTGCTGCGGGATTTGTGAGAGGACCTCTTCGGCCACATTGGAGCTGCGGTTCAGGAGGCTTTGGTAGTGTTCTTTCCAACGTAGTGCAATTGAGTTTTGGTCCTTCAGGAGTTTGGTTCCATCTGATGAGCGTAGAGGCTGTATACCATGGTTTCTTGGTCCATAGATGACCTTTGTGGCTTTGAAAAATCCCTGAGCATCATGGGTATCTGCCAGGTGTTGGATTTCTTCAGCCTTCTTTGTCCACCAGATGTTCTTGAGTTCTCTTGTCCTTCTTTGGACCTCAGCTTTTGCACTGGCATAGATCTTTTTCTTAGCAGCACAGTTGATGTCTCTCTGCCATGCTTGGAAGGCTTTCCTTTTCTTGTCAATTAGCTGTTGGATCTCGATGTCATTTTCATCAAACCAGTCTTGATGTTTCTTGGCTTGGTATCCAATAGTTTCTTCGCAGGCTTGGATGATGGAGGTCTTCAGTTTGTTCCAATGTTCCTCAACATTTTCGGGGTGTACTGTGGGTAGATGGTCCTTGAGTGCTGTTTGGAGATGGGCTCGTCTGGAGGGCTCCTGAAGGGCTTGGGTGTTCATTTTGCGCCTTGTCTTCCTTTCTTGGAGTCTGCGCTTGGGGGCAATCTTGAGAGCCATCGAGGATCGAATTAGCCTGTGGTCAGTCCAGCAGTCGTCAGCACCTGTCATGGCTCTTGTGAGGAGCACATCACGGCGGTCTCTGGCGCGTGTGATTACATAGTCTAAGAGGTGCCAATGCTTTGACCGGGGGTGCTTCCATGATGTCTTGAACTTGTTTTTCTGGCGGAAGAGAGTGTTGGTGATGACAAGGTTGTGCTCCGCACATTTGGTGAGAAGCAGGATGCCATTTGAGTTGCTGTTTCCAACCCCGTCTTTTCCGATGGTCCCTGGCCACAGGTCGAAGTCTCGCCCGACTCTTGCATTGAAGTCCCCCAGGAGGATGATTTTGTCCTCCTTAGGTATCCCCGATAGGACGGTATCCAGCTGACAGTAGAATTTCTCCTTGATGTCTTCATCAGCATCTAGTGTTGGTGCATAGGCACTTATGATGGTTGCCCGTTGGTTTTTGGCAAGATCGATTCGGAGGGTTGAGAGTCGTTCGTTGATGCCAGTGGGTGCTTCGGACAGATGTTTCACCAGATCATTTCTGATGGCAAAGCCAACTCCGTGCATTCTTTGGTCTTTTTCGGGCAGTCCCTTCCAGAAGAAGGTGTAGCCTCCTTTTTCTTCCTTCAGCTGTCCCTCTCCTGCTCTCCGGGTCTCCTGAAGGGCTGCTATGTCGATGTTGAAGCGTCCCAGCTCCCTTGCAATGATGGCAGTTCTGCGTTCGGGGCATTCACTGCCACTGTTGTCCATCAGAGTCCGTACGTTCCACGTACCGAAGTTCATTTTCCTTTTTTGGCCGCAGGGTGGTGACCCCACTGGACGCGGCAGTCCAGTCAGGGATAAGTGAGGCAGACTATGTTTAGGGCACCTTTTCTAGCCCCCTCCCCATGTGGGGTGAGCAGAGTGGGTCCTCAAAAGGGCTGCTCAGTCGCGGATACAGCTGCCGAACTACTCAACTGCCTCGGACCTTGAGGTAGAACGACTGAGTCCGTACCCACCGCCCATGTGCCAGTCTGTGACTAGGGGCTTCCAGATTTCACAGTCCTGCCCCCGTCGCCACTCGCTGATCGCCATGGGACTTTGGTTGCTTGGTTTTTATTTTCTTTGGAAGACGCCTGTGCGTGAGTTTTTTAATGTGTGGAGGTCAGTGCACAACTGATCAACACACAGACTTCACAGAGTGAGGTTCCACTGGTGATGTAGTTTAACACAATGACCGTGGCTTCTCAGTCTGTTGCAGCCTTCTTCCGCCTTCGCAGCCGTTGTAACACATACCATGTTATCCTCCGCCTGCTCCGCCGTTGAGGTCTTTGGGTCTTCGGACTGTGCTTGGTCTGGAACCTCCCCCGCGGCCACTCCTGGGAGTGCACGACTCCAGTTGTTGTGCCTACAGGTTCATTGGAACGTGCAAGCCCCCTCACCACGGCAAGGTGACAGTCACCCTCCATCCATGTGGGTGACAGTCACCCTCCATAATATATTACAAATGCCATGCCTACTATGACACTGAAATATAGTAAATCAATAAGAACAAACAGTAGTAAAGGACAGATCAAGCCTTTGATTATTTCCCAACAGCTTCTACAAATAGATTTTTTAAAACTGGTGCCAGAAAGGCAAGAGTACAAGGAACAATTTGATCTCAAAGGGAAATGGTTGTTAACATCAGGAGCAGTTCTCCTCAGTCGATGTTTCGGGTAAAGCGCTCAGCATGTGACATATGAGAAAATCAATTGGAGGTCTGTAGTTATTATCAAGGCTAGCTCAAGGCATTCCAAACCTGGTCAGAATAGCACACCCTCATGGCTATTTCCATGTACAGAAAGGTGGTAAGATTTGCAATGGAATCTTAGGATGCACCTACATGAAGAACGGATACAGCATGACACCACTTAAATGCCACAACTCAGTGTTATGGAATCATGGAAATTATCACTTTACAGGGTCTTTAGCCTTCTTTGTCAAAGAGTTCTGGCACGTCATCAAACTACAACTGCCAGGATTCCATAATATTGAATTATGGTAGTTAAAGTGATGTCAAATTGCATAGATGCTACAGGGCAAATGCACCCTTAGATCAATACAGGTTGCCCTTCTTGCACTTAAGCAAGGGAAGGGGATGTCACACTGTGTTTGGGACAAATGCAGCTTTGTTCTTCAGTACCAGTACCTTCCAGAATACTGGAAAAATCCTGCAAATCTCTTGGAAAGACAAGTAGACAAATGTCAGCATGCTGGAAGAAACAAAGACCACCAACATTGAAGCAATGCTCCTACGCCATCAACTCTACTGGTCTGACCACGTTGTCCGAATGTCTGATCATTGTCTCCCGAAGCAGTTACTATACTCCCAACTCAAGAATGGGAAATGTAATGTTGATGGACAGGAAAATAGATTTAAAGATGGGCTTGTAGCCACCCTTGAAAACTGTGGCATAGACAAAGAGAAATGGGAAGCCCTGGCCCTTGGGCACTCTAACTGGAGGTCAGCTGTAACCAGCAGTGCTGCAGAATTCAAAGAGGCATGGATGGAGGGTGAAAGGGATAAATGTGCCAAGAGGAAGGTGCATCAAGCCAACCCTGACCGGAACCACCTTCCACCTGAAAACCAATGTCCTCATTGCAAGAGAACATGCAAGTCAAGAATAGGGCTCTACCTATGGACCCACTGCCAAGACAGTACACCATCATCCTCAGGCTACAAGGGATCACCTGAGAAGAAATTGAATATATATCAGTATGTACTGTTTAATCCCAAAGGGAAAGCTCTGCAACCTGGCACTGGCTCTAAGGATATACCTGAGTCAGGCCAGGTGCTGAGGCACATGAACAGTGCTGGGTTCTTCAGTTCATATTCTATTTATCAGAAGCTTAGAAGCATTTGGTTGATCATCATTGTAAAGGGGGATTCCAACCCATGAGCCATTGGGTCCTGGACTTGAAGAGGTTTCAGGAAAGAAAGAAACAGTTGTAGCTAACGGGATCAAATATGACACTAATTCCAGCACATTAAGACACAGAAATAACGCCTTCCACAATTGTCAGCTAGTGTTGTATAGTGGTTTGAATGTTGGATTAAGACTTTGGCAGAACAAGGTTTGGACCACCCTTCAGCCATGGAAACATACTGTATGACTTTGGGCAAAGCTCTCAGTCTTATTCAGGTGTTAGGCAAATTTCATGTGGATACAAATGGCCAAGAAAACCTGATGTTAGGAATTATATATAAATCAGAAATGCCTTGGAGGTACATCATCATCATTGTCGTTGCCATCTGTCACTATCTTTAGAGGAGCAGATTTTTCCTACAAACTCTGTAGCTATGTACTCACAGTTTTGCATCACAAAAAAATTGCACTTCCACCCTTTCTTCCGCAAGGGGGCAGTCGAATAAAAGGGATGCTAGTAAGCATTATTAGTCTGTCAAAAATAAATAAAGAGTTTGAATCTTAAGATGCTGGTTTATTTGCTGTTTCCTTTATATATTTGAAGGCAGAATTCCCAGAACGGTTTGTTCTGTGAATTAAATAAACAACTAGGTAGATATTCTTAGTTCAGCTCTGTGCATCAGTTTAACCATTCTATGTATTTGCAGTTTACATGGAGAAAGCAGATGGTTTTAAAGCCATTTTCAACCCTTTTCTGGTTGTGTGTGTGTGTGTGTGTGAGGAGCAACTTGAGAAACTGCAAGTTACTTCTGGTGTGAGAGAATTGGCCATCTGCAAATGCAGTTAAGATGGATGGTAGTTATTGATATTAGAAGGCAACCAATTTAACCCTAATTTTTCTTCTTTCCCCTCCCCACCACAATTGCCTTCCCTTTCTTGAATTAAATTACAGTTTGCAAGATGAATGTACATAGACGCTGTGAATCAAATGTGGCACCAAACTGCGGAGTGGATGCAAGAGGGATAGCTAAAGTCCTCGCAGATCTTGGCGTTACTCCAGATAAAATCACTAATAGTGGACAAAGAAGAAAGAAGGTAATGAAAGCAGCCATTTAAAACATGATCTAATGTCCGACTGTTCTGCATTGTAAAATACAAGTAAGATCCTCCAGCTTGATTCTTTCCATTTGTCAATGTAATTGTGAAATAGGACTGAAGTCACCTTACTATTTATTGAAAGAGATAAAAAAAGATTTTCCCCTGACATTAAGTCTAGTCATGCCCGACTCTGGGAGGTGGTGCTCATCTCCATTTCTAAGCTGAAGAGCTGGTGTTGTTCACAGACACCTCCAAGGTCAAGTGGCTGGCATGATTGCATGGAGCACCATTACCTTCCCGCCAGAGCGGTACCTATTAATCTACTCACATTTGCATGTTTTTTAACTTCTAGGTTGGCAGAAGCTGGGGCTAATCATGGGAGCTCACCCCGCTTCCTGGATTCCAACTGCCAACCTTTTGGTCAGCAAGTTCAGCAGCTCTGCAGTTTAACCTGCTGCGCCACCGGAGGCAGATTTAAAATATCTTACAAAAACATTCGTAAAAATAGAGTGCTAAAAGTTATTTTAAACAACTAAACCACCTGTAGAGTTAAAACCTGTTAAAATTGCTTACAATACAATATTTAAAAATCAACCTGAGCTAGGCTTTCCTTACTTCTGAGCTAAATGGAGGTCTGGAAAGCCCAGATGATCCACGAAGTGCAAATCCAACTTCTGACTGGGGAGTGGAGAGAGAAATGGCAAAGTCATTCATTCTTGACTATCAAAAAGAAATTTACAAATCTTTTAGCCTTTACTGCAGATGTTCACATGTTTGCAGTGGCATCTCTACAAATCTTAGCTGTAAAACCCTCTAATATTTACAAACAAAATATGAGCAGTTGGCAAAAAACATCTGTGAGTGGTCAATAGAGCAGCTTGATTAATGACACTAGTTAGGAGAGGCAGTTTGCTTTTGACTGATCCTACTGGAAAGGATGAGACATTCTCCACTATTTGGCTAGTTGAGTGCCAACTATTTTTACATTTTTAACTCAATTTGCAGCAATTGAAGTAAGCTGAGGATCACAGAATCTATGAACATTTTGAACTCAGTTTGCAGCAAATACTTTCAAAGCATGTGAAAATGTGGGATAGCAAAGGATTGCTCAGGATTGTTTCTGTCTAATGGAAGCAGCTTGAGAATATGTTGTAATCAGTGTTGGATGACAGGATACTTAAGGAGGACTTAGCCACCTCTCGATAATCCCTTTATTCATACAGATAGGAACCTTACTACTGTATATACGCATGAATAAGTCTACATGTTTTAAATAAATTCCATAATTTGGCTTGACTCATCCTTGGGTCTGCAACAGTAGACCTTAAGCCTTTTAAAAAAGGAAACCATTCTGTTCTCTGATATGAGTGGCAAAAGGCAAGATCTTAGTCCATCCCAGAAATACCTAAAAGAAGGACCCACCTCCTCTATCCTCTCTGCTATGGGACCACTTCTTGCCTTTTTGAATCCTGGAATGTGAAAATTGAGCAGCATCCAGGGATGGTTGGGCCCTATGGAGACATTGGTGTTTTCCCCTCTCTTGGTTAATTGTGACCACTTTGACATAAAGTTGACTTATACATGAGTACAAAGAGGGTTTTTTTTAAACAATTCCCATTGGTATCAAATGTTTCTATTCATGTGGAAAAGCCTGGTGTGGGGCAGAGGAGAGGCACCAAGAATGTGTGACAAGGTTCCCCAAATCTCTTCCCTGCCTGAAATTCCATAAAGAAATTAGAAGTATCTCCATGCTCCACATTAAACAGAACATTCAACTTGTCCCTTCAACTGATTTGACCTCAGTCATAATGGAGTCATGAAGGACTTTATTATTTTTCAGTTGTCAGAAGGGATCGTTCTTGTCAGAAAGCCATGTAAACATCAAAGCCACTACTTTGATGTCCCCTTGTGGGAACACATGTGAACATAAATAATTCTTATCTAGTCGAAAAACTGGCACGAGATCATTCCTTGCCAGATGTTCCTCCCAACCCTCTGTGATGTTCCAGTGATGGAATACAATGAAATAACATTCTCCAGAAAGGGAATTCAGCTGACATTCACAATGACACTTCTCAGAAACTGGTCCTTATTTTTCATTTGGGGCAAAAATAAATAAATCATGTATTTCATGCACACTTTAATCACTCTAACAACAACAAGAACTGCACTCCTTCTGGTGAAGTGGGGAAGGCTGTTTTAGACTATATTCTTAGAACAAATCATTCAGAATTTAGAAATATGTACTTGCTAAAGATCTTTATGAAGTCATATTTTGATATCCACCCAAAATTCTCTCATCCAGAGCTACTGACGATATTAAAATGAGTATGTGTTGGACTTGCGCTCAGTTAATTATGACCTTTGATTCAGACAGGCTTAGAATTCAGAACAAACATTAAGTCATAAAAAGTACCTCTGTTTGTAGTGATCTCATATGTGGCTATATAGTTTTATCTAGATTTATTTATGCCACTTGGCAATCATAGCTATATTAAGTTACATTTCCAAGATTGTACATACAGGCCCTTTTTTACTCATCATGAACTGCACTTATGAATGGTGACTCAGGCTCCAAAATGTTTTTCAGGCTCCAAAAGATTGTTTTTTTTTTGCAGGTCCTGAAGTCTTTGTGAGGAGCAAAGAAATACTCACATATTGCAAATCACAAGCAGTACTTTGGCCAAACTTACTCTTAGACTCACACCCTCATAATGTGCCTCTTCACCCAACCTAAAACAGAGAGTTGTGCCTACTGTCAAAGATGGAGGAGTTTCCAAATGTTGTTACCATCACCAGAAGCATTGTATTTTACTGTGGTTTTTTTCCAATGATGTGCACTGGACTGTCCCTTTTCTTCCTTTTCTTTGATTCTCAAGGGCTGCTATTGCTTACTGGTGGTCTTCCTTTCCCTCCTTTGGGCTGCAGTCCTGTTGTCACTTGCTGCAAAAAATGGCTGGATAAAAATCTTTAGTATTTTGTATATCATTATTTGTTTAAGCCACCTATTTCACATCAGATGTCAAACATAATTGACAATGAAACTGTTAAGACAAAAATACATATGCAATATAGTTGGGTTCTGTGTCCCATTCTATACTTCCAAGTCTGACAATTTACAAGCTTTCTCTCTGCACACCAATTCTAGTTCTTTGCTCACTGATAAAGGTTGCATGAGAAGAACACATCGTTAAGTATTTCTGTTGTTCTCTTTTTAGCTTGTTCCAGGTGCAGAATCTCAACCACCGGTTCCTGGATCTTCACCGGAAGATGATAGGTCAAAGTCAGCCCCAACATCCCCTTGTGATCAAGGTTTGCCAACTTTTATTTTCCAAATAAATAAATACTATATATTTTTTCATGCCAGGAGTGACTTGAGAAGCTGCAAGTTGCTTCTGGTGTGAGAGAATTGGCCGTCTGCAAGGACATTGTCCAGGGGACACCCTGATGTTTTACCATACTGTGGGAGGCTTCCCTCATGTCCCTGCATGAGAAGCTGGAGCTAACAGATGGGAGTTCCCCAGATTCGAACCACTGACCTTTCAGTCACCAGTCCTGCCAGCACAAGGGCTTAACCCATTTTGCCACCAGGGACTCCTAATATTATAATAATCTGGTATTATTTGCTCCTAATCATTGAACCATAGCAACTCAGATTTAGCAACCATAAAAAAGGAAATATTTTTTTAGAAAACATTAGAGCCATTCAAATTTGTTTGGCTCTTTCAAACCCAGAACTGTTTGATTCAGAGTAGTAGCAGCTTGTAGCCCCCAAGGCAGTGAGGTGGTGAACCAACCAAAGGTTTTAGTCTATACTTCTTCTTTAAAAGCTATCCAAGGTGCTGAACCGTATCTACAAAATAGTTTCAGCACACTGGATGGTGCATTTAAAGTTTGAATTGAAACTCAGAAATGATTCACCATGGCTTTGACATGGGATACAATAAAACTGGATTAAAAGAGATCTCAGTATTTGGTCTCAGGCCTTTTGGTACAATAGTTGTTTTAAAGTACTATTGAGAATCATGTGATTGGACTTCACACTGTTGAACACCAAGTCACAGCAGCCCTAGCCAATACAGTGAAGATTATTTTGAAGTTTTAGCCACAATGACTGGAAAGTTATCTTTTTGGACTATAACTCCCAAAATTCCTCTATCATCATGGCTGCTTCTGTCTGGGAGATTATGGGAGTTATTTTTCCAAAGGGCATTTTTCCCCAGTGCATTGTTTTCTTTTACTTTCTCCAGAATTAATATACTATTGCAGAGTCAGCTGTGATTTCTGTAAAACAAATAATATAACTACCTCCTTTTCTGTCCCTTTTCATTATTTCATTATCCTGCTATATTTTCACAGAAATTAAAGAACTTGAAAATAACATTAGGAAAGCATTATCATTTGATAACCGAGGAGAAGAACACAGGGGAGCAGCAACAAGTTCAACTGACAACCAGCTCAACACTCCTGGCGAGAATGGGGAAAACGGAGAGGTCAAAGCACAGACGAAGCGCATGGGCCTCGAAGAGTTTAACTTCATCAAGGTGTTAGGAAAAGGCAGTTTTGGAAAGGTGAATAGCCTTTTGTTTCTACATGCCTCTTCCTGGTTTAAAATTTGGTTTAAAATATACCTTGATGAAAGGAACAAGGCTGGCTGTGAATACTCTTAAAGATGCGTGACAGAGCCAACACATACAGGAGTAAGCATGATGTAATCCCACAATGTCTATAGTGTGAATTTGCAAATGGGGGGGGGGCAAATAAAGCTCAATCAGAAGAGAAATCATAGAATAATGGAGTTTGAAGAGACCACATGGGCCATCTATGCAGGAAAAGCACAAAGTACCCCTGACAGATATCCATCCAGCCCTTGTTTTAAAGCCTCCAAAGAAAGAGTGTCCACCAAACTCTGCCAACTTCAGAATCTCTCTCAAAATGGTGTCTCAAAGTGATGCCATGCTTCTAGTTGACATTTTGAGAGGAATTCTGACAATAACACAAGTATTTGGAGGTTGTGAAGAATTCTGGAGGGTCTATGAGCATATTTTCCAACTCTTCTTTTGCATTATAGTGGGTTTTTCAGCTTGCTAGCTGTGCAAACTCAGCAAGGCATTAAAAAGTTTATTCTGCCTCCTACCACTTTACCATAAAGAAGAGTTGTAGAGGTGATTTTAATCTTTTTTTCCTTGGCTCTCTGGTGGTTTCTGGCAAGAAATAAAATGTGGATGTTTGCTTCTTTTCTGAACAAGGTGCACCTACACGATAGAATGAATGCAGTGTGATGCCACTTAAACTGCCATGGCTCAGTGATGTAGAATCAAGGGGGTTGTAGCTTTAGAAGTCTCAGGACTGCTTTTTCCATTTAATATAGGGACCAGTCTCAACCCACCTGCAATTCACATGTACATACTAAATACCTCGGTTTTAATTCAGAGTTCCTTTCAAAATTGTGTCTCAAAATGATGCCACACTTCTGGCCACCATTTTGAGAGGGATTCTATAACAAGTATGCTTGTAGGTATTTCAGAATTTGGAAGAGTCATCCATGAATCTATTGCCCCATTGCCTTACAGTTTATTTGAACCCCCTTTCAGTTGTACAGATGCTCCTTCTGCACTAGCTCCAAGTTGTACCGGAGCAATTCTGTTGCTGGACTCTGTTCTAAGAGGGTTTTGCAGCAGATGAGTTCCTCTAAAATTATGGTGTACAGCTGCAAAAGAAGTGGATATATATCCAGATGCGAAATCACTGCTCCTGGTGTCAGACTAGAAACAGGAGAAAAAACAAGATGTTATCACTTTAAGTGAATATGTTTTTCTGGGTGAGGGGCTTGGAGACCATGTGCTCTGCCAAGGACTAGGAGAGGGCAAAAAATGAACCCTACTTTCCCAGAAATAACACATTATATGTATTTTCCAAGTGCAGAATTGGTTTAAGTTCATGAATTGCTGATAGGGTGAGTTTTATAAATAGAGAATAGATTCCATAAATCAATTCCTTGTTGCCATGCACAAGATCTTCTCTGGAAGGTTTGCGATATACACTTGGCAAGATTATGACAGGCTATGGGAAAGGAAGAGGAGGCAGAGAAGGGAAGAACTTCTTATAAAGACTTACACAGACTTCTGCTCACAGAAAAGAGGATTTTTTCCCCATAGCAATATATCCTCTGAGCCAGCTGCTCTCTTGTAGACTAGAGCTTTACAAATATGTCATGATGATATACTTTTAAGATATGCATCATTTCGCAACATAGTAATTCAGTTTTACTAGAAAATCAGAGGTTTCACCAACTCCTTATAAGAGCACATACATATATTGTAATAACGAAAGGTTGGGGGATACAACATACCTCATGAAAATCTTTCATTTATATTTTTCATGATATCTGATTTGTAAGATTTTAAATGTATTTCTATGATTTTGTAAGATTTTTTGTCATTTCTCATTACATGTGTATGACATACCTACATACTTCAGGTAACACACTAACACATTGCAACACACAGTTTGAAAAGTTCTGTTGTAGGCAATCATATTGTCATAAACACATAGAAAATCCCTAGGGGAGTCAAGGAAATCCACATTTTTTTCTGTGCAGGGAATCCTATCTTTGCAAGCAACTCCCCCCTCAAAAGTGTTGTGTTTCAAATGACTCTTTCCAACAGGGAGAATATTGTTTATCACTTCCTAGCAAAAATGAATTATTACAGTCATTCCTCCACATTTGCGGTTTTGACTTTTGTGGATTTGATTATTCACAGATTTTATTTAAAATGTTCTCTCATCTCTAGGTCCTCCATTGTGCCTTATTTATTTATTTACTTACTTACTTACAGTATTTCTATTCCACCCTGCTTACCCCGAAGGGGACTCAGGGCAGATCACAATGCACACATACACAGCAAACATTCAATGCCATTTTCCAGACAGAGAGACAGAGGTATTTTTGGCATTTCCACTTCGGTGCCTGGAGGTTTACCCGATTCCGACTTCATGGTCATCTTCCTCCAGCCATGCTAGAGATGTCTAGAAATGACACTTCTCTAGAACATCAGCAGCCATTGACCATAAAGTAATGCTGGAAAACCTATACATTCATAGATAGGTGTCCTCTCAAGTTAAAAAAATGAGAAATTTTGTTATTGGTATTTTTTCACTTTCACTGTGGTACTGTGCCCCTAACCACAGCAAATGTGGATTTCTGGCTGTCCTGTGGTCTGGCTATGTCTTGGGCTTTTGTGAACTGGAGTCCAAAAGATCTTGGTAAGCAGACCCGAGACTTCGCACCCTTAAGCCTAGAACATTTAGGTGCAGCAGATGATTATCTAAATTCGTACTCAAATGTTGGGTGCTCCTGTATAAGTAATGAAGTTCCCTTCTAACAAAACTTGATAGTTCTTTGAATACTTTTAATAGAACAACAGATGGCCTCCTTGCACTGAAACGAACTGTAATCGTAACTGATACCAGAGTATTTTCTATAGAGCCTACATTGGTGAATAATTCTCTGATTTCTAAATTGGATTACTTCATATATTTTTCCAAATGTCAGCATTACATTATGTTTGTTAACTTGAAAGTACGTATGTGGATTGAAATGCTAAGCTACAGTGGGTGTCTTTGCCGCTGTACCTGAGTAAAGAAAGTGCTCTGTAGGAGGGTTGACATTTCTTCTCCCTGAAGGCGATCCTTGCTTTTGCGTTCTCTGATTTTGAAAGTCAAATCGTTTTGTTTTTCTACTTACCAGCCACTGTGCAAACTCAACAAGGCATGAAAAGTCTGTTTATTCTGCCTCCTACCGCTTCAGCACAAAGTGAAGTTGTAGAGGTGATTTTAATGATGATGGAAGTGGCAGCCTTGAGCCTCCTTTTCTTGGCTCTCTTGTGGCTTCTGGCTTTTAGGGAAACTTAGATGTTTGCTTCTTTTCCTAACAAGGTATATGGTGATTATATGAAATCTGCAGTGGCATCCATAGTGTTTGACATAATTTGAACTGCCGTAAATTATTTATAATATGTATAATTAATTATAACATAACAATGAATACAATTTGACATGATTTGAGCTGACATGACTCAACGCTATGGAAGCCAGGGAGTTGTAATTTCAGCCTGGGGGCTCATCAAACTACAACTCCCAGGATTCCATAGCATTGAGCCATAGCAGTTAAAGTAGCATCAAACTACATTAATTCTACAGTGAAAATGCACCCTACAATGCCTACATGTCTAGACTTAGGACTCCCCTAAGACATGTTGCTTCCTGGAGAACAGTAGCAAATGACCCCACCTAGTTTTATCTGCATAATATTCAAAATCAGCCAAATTATTTGGAATCTATGGCGAACTATCTCATAGTCAATTCTGTCCACCACCCCTAGTAGCAAATCAAATAATTTTCTGCTCTTCCAGGATATCCCAAATCTGTTATCTAAGGAGGGAAGCTCAGTCTGTCTAATGATGGTACCAATCTTACTCATAGTACTATAGTAAAGGTAAAGGTTTCTCCTGAGATTAAGTCTAATTGTGTCCAACTCTGGGAGTGGTGCTCATCTCCATTTCTAAGCTGAAGAGCCAGCATTGTCCGTAGACACCACCAAGGTCATGTGGCCAGCATAACTGCATGGAGTGCCATTATGTTCCCACCAAAGCGGTACCTATTGATCTACTCACATTTGCATGTTCTCAAACTGCTAGGTTGTCAGAAGCTGGGGCTAATAGCAGGAGCTCACCCCGCTCCCGTGATTTGAATTGCCAACCTTTCAGCATGTTCAGCAGCTCAGCAGTTTAACCCACTACGACACCAGGGGGTCCTCATAGTACTATAGTTGATTGAACCTTTTAAAATTCTTAATTAGGTTAAAAGCCACACACACACAATATTTATACCACAAGCTAGGTGTATTAAGAATGTGGATTGGTTTTATGTCTAAACAATTATATCCTGCACCAAATGTAAGAATCTGTGTCTTGATACATTAGTGTGGAAGCTAGTATATAGGTGTTTTGTGTGAATGTAATGAGAAACCTCTGAGTCTATGTGAAATGTAAATGTAAATGTAAATGAAAGTTTTTCATGAGATACATTGTTTCCCCATACATTTTGTTATTACAATTTACGTATGTGTCTGAATCTCTTACAAGGGGATGGTTAAACATCCAGTTTGCTACTAAAACAGAATTACTGTGTCGCGAAATGATGCCTATCTAAAAAGTATATCACCAACATGAAATGTTTGGAAAGCTTTGGTACAAATCATGAATGTGTGGAGATAGGAACTGTTGAAGGAGCCATAACTCCAACGGCCGCAAGCTGCTTTATTGATATGGTTTGTATGTAGGGCTTCTGTCTCCACCACTAAATTGATGCTGTAATTCTGAATTGTGTCAGGTTAATGGCAGTAAAGAAATAAAGCATAAGCACATTGCAGTCCGGGTGAATGAATTTTTCCTCTTGATGTTAGGTCATGCTAGCCGAGCTAAAAGGCAAAGACGAAGTATACGCAGTGAAAGTCCTAAAGAAAGATGTCATCCTACAAGACGACGATGTGGACTGCACAATGACAGAAAAACGGATTCTGGCATTAGCACGGAAACATCCCTACTTAACGCAACTCTACTGCTGCTTCCAGACCAAGGTGGGTTAACTAAATCTATTCCCTAAGTAAGGCCCAAATCCTCTACAAAGAATTGGTGTGCTTTGTCCATGGAAAATAACTTGGAGAAGTCTGGTATTACCAAGCTAACTTCTGTAGTAAAGTCTTTGGCCCCATCTACACTGCATTTTAATGCAGTTTCAAACTACGTTATATAGTCAGTCTAGGCTCATATAATGCAGTTAAATGCAGTTAAACTGCATTATATGAGTCTGCACTGACCATATAATGCAGCTTCAAACTGTGTTGTTAGGGCCCTTGTTAGTGGGGGATTGAAGTAGCAAGACTTCAAAACTGTGGCTCTTATGTGCTTTCAAGTCAAATCAATCTTAAGACAGCCAAATTCAAGGTTTTTCTTGTTGACATTGATTCAAAAGAAGTTTGCCATTGTCTTCCTCTTAAACTGAGAGGATGCAACTTTCCAAACAATGGATTTCCACGGTTGGGGCTACTGATTGGTTTTGGGCTGCAATTTGTGTTATAGGTTGTTTCGTCATGCTTTCGTCCATTAGCTTGTTTTGCCAAAATACATCAGTGCAGCCAATTTGTGGGTAGTCGTCATGGGGAATTGGTCCCTGCCCCCTCTTTGGACCCCCTCCCCTGATATATAATTTATAGAACATCTTAATCTGAATTTTGTACTTGGATTTGTGTCCATTACTGTGCGTTGTTTCACTCTCAGTATTTCCTATGCATAAAATATTCACAATCCACCAGAAAATACTCTGGTTTAAACCCTATCGGAACAAACAGATAGTTGGGTTGCTGTGAGTTTTCCAGGCTGTATGGCCATGGTCCAGAAGCATTCTCTCCTGATGTTTCACCCACATTTATAGCAGTCATCCTCAGAGGTTGTGAGGTATGTTGGAAACTAGGCAAGTGAGATTTATATATCTGTGGAATGTCCAGGGTGGGAGAAAGAAATCTTGCCTGTAGTTGTTCTGTATGGCCCCTCAAGAGCCAGAAGATGGCACTAAGGATACAACAAAAATTCTTCAGTTCTCTTTTTTCCTTTTTCTCTCTCTCTGTGTGAAGGAAATTACTGGTTACATAATTCTGTACAAATATCAAGAGCCACTGTATTTAAATAAATGTTAAAGTTATTTTAACACTGTTCTGGTATACCAGGAGGAATGTGAAAATTCAATTCGGATCTGTTTTTTCATAAATCTGGATGTGTGTTTTCTTTCTGATCTTGTTTCCATAAGGCCTCCCTGAACCATTTCCTTCATAAATTAAAATTTTCCTTGAAAGGACATTTATGTGCTTCTTTTCTCCTACATTCATTATAATGATTTTTTTGATTCTATACATTGTTACCTGTGCACATTTTAAAATATGCACATTTTCTAAGAACCTCAAAAATTATGTAAACATTTAAGTACCTCAAACACTGTGAATTTTGGTAACAAAATGCTTGTTTTTCTAGTAACAAAGTTCAGTTGGTTGCACAAATGTTAACTTTGTCAAAACTGTCAAATGCAATGATATTTTGATCCATGTTTAATATCAATATGGGCACAAAACATTGACATTTATGTAGAACAACTGCAACTTTGCATATAGTATTATTCTAATATAATATCTCTGTTTATCATCAGTAAGGCAGTCAGCTTATTGGCAATATGTAGGAGCACACATTCCCTAACCAGCTCCTTTTATATAAGTGGGAGTACTCTATAGTGAAACTAACCAGGAGTTTACCAGATCAGAAAAGCTTAATGTTAATTTCAAACTTTAATATCCATCCCAAATCAGAAACTTTAAATCTTTCAATAAAAACTATAAAACAATCTGTCAACCACTTATTAATTTTGCTTCAAATTTGTTTAGATAAGACAATAACAAAGAGCACTCTACACTGACCAGTTAACTCACTTTCAGACTGCTATTCAAGAAATTGGTTTTGCTGTGCAGATGATTACATAGGAAATCCTGGAACCAGTTTGATGCCCAGATGGTGATTATAGAAACCACAAAGCACTGATGCACAGTGGGCTTTTTTCTGGTATGCTTTTGCGGGAGTTTGTTGTCTAGCCACAAACACCATCTACACTGATCATTTAATGCAGTTTGAAGCTAGCTTCAAACTGCATTAAATGATCAGTGTAGATGGTGTTTGGATTTGGATGTGATTCTACTATTGTGGTCAGTACTTGGTAACTTTAACACACTGATGAGGAAAGGATGGCCCTCCAGATGCCCACGAAATCATAGAGCTGGAAGAAAGCCTGTTCTGTTTCAGACTACTTCCAGTTTCAGCCCCCCCCCCCCCCCCCCCGGCCCAAAAGAGTTTGTTTGCTTGTGATCCCTGATAAACTTTACTGTTGTGGCATGTGGTAAATGATGCAGCAGGTGGTTTACAGCATGCCAATCCTTTCAGCAATGCGGTCCAGCATCCCCTCACAAATAATGGTAGAATTTGGCATCTAAACAATTACTTCTAGCCACTGTATCTCCAGCCATTACTGGCCAAATGGAGCTCCTGAACTGGAGACATCCTCCAAAGATAAGGCTAATGGAAAACGGACCCCCAAGGTTTATACAATGCAACTCCTATATCCATAGATCCAGTACTCACAGTTTCATTTACCCTCATCTGACAAAATATGTCTTCTCTTGGCACCTTCTAGATCATCCAGCTTGTCTCTATGATATTAGTCAGGACTAATTGATGGATCAAATTGGGCATTCTATGTCTATTGAATGTCTATAAATGCACATTTGGAAGTCTCCAGTCACTACCTTACAAGATGCAAAGCCATAAACTTTCAGCCTCGGCTCCATTTTCCTAACAAGGTCCTCATAATGCACAATAACAACCTGAAATTATAATGATGGAGTGAGACATCATTCGTGTGAAGGACTATCATGACTGATACAGTTCTGTTGAAATTCAACGCTTATGGTTCTGTGTAGGCAATATCACCATCATTACAACATATTACAAAATCTGTGGTTTAAGGGCATGTTTCAAACACTGCAATAATGTGTTTTCCTACAACTTAGAAACATAACTTTACTAAACTCAGCAGACCACCAAATTCCTTACATGCTTTTGACTGCAGTTCAGAGAAGGAATTTCATATCAGAAATCCTAAACAGAATCTGCTCTGGAAAAAGGCAGAGCTGGAATAGCAGTGGCTGGTTTTCATCCCAGAACAATGTAAGATAAAGAAATTTAGATAGAAAAAATAAAGGATTATATACACCTCAACTACATCTCGTTTAAAATATCATCAAGGTATATGCACTGGATTTCTACACTAGGAAAATCTGTGACAGCAGCTGAGTTCACACAAACAGAGCCAGAAATCTTCAGAATTTTATCTTATCAATAATGAGCAAATCAGCTGTGATTTGCTGCGCAATCACTCATGTTTGGGTGTTTTAGCAAGTGGGAGTACCTAAAACAGAGTTAGACAGAGTGTGGCCTCCTAGATGTTGCTGGGCTTTGCATTTTTTATTACTGGAAAAGTTGTTTAGATCTGCAAGGAGATGCAGTCCAGCAACAGGAAGAACATTTGGATCTAAATTACAAAAAAAGGATATTCCAACCAAAGTTTCAGAAAAACTGTTCTACATTGAAATGGACTATCTTGGACAAGTATGCACTCTTCTTTATTGCATGTTTTTATCCCAAAGTTAGATTTGGGCTGCTTCAGGCCCCCTGGTCGCACAGTGGGTTAAAATGCTGAGCTGCTGAAATTGCTGACTGAAAGGTTGGCAATTCGAATCCAGGGAGCGGAGTGAGCTCCCGTTGTTATTCCCAGCTTCTGTCAACCTAGCAGTTAAAAAACATGCAAATGTGAGTAGATAACAGGTAACGCCTTAGCAGGAAGGTAATGGTGTTCCATGCAGTCATGCTGGCTACATGACCTTGGAGGTGTCTACGGACAACGCCAGCCCTTCGGCTTAGCAATGGAGATGAGCACTAACTCCCAGAGTTGGACACGACTAGACGTAATATCAAGGGGAAACCTTTACCTTTACCTTTGCTTCTTCTACACAACTGGATCATAATGTGATAAAGAAATCCAATTCCACTCCAGCGAGTCTCTACATGCACACCAGGAACCGCGAAAAAACTACCATGGTATCAACAAAGCTCCTTGCATGCCAAATCGACCCAACAGAACAACTTTCTTTTCTTACTCCATTGAGAGAAGGGCACTGTACTCTAGCAGCCTGTCAAAATCAGCAATGGAACCCATCTCAAAAAAAAAAAAAAAAGCCCAGGGGGGATTTATTTTCTGGAGAGGGGGAAAAGGTGTTTGTTTACTTTTCCGGAGAGTACCATATCCAGTTCCTTCAACTGAATTTTGTAGTGGTGGTGCTGTTTACAGGAGTGCTGCGCATGTTACTCCAGAATTTCTGCTCTTCAATATCTGTTCACTGGCCAGCTGCAGCACATTTGTTGCAAATTTCCAATTTCACCTGACTTTTTAAACATATGTTTTCCATGTGGTGCCCATATTAGGGGCATACTTTTTCTGGCCTCCCGCTATAATCCTCATTATTCTGGATTTTAAAGCACGTGCCTTGGAAAACTCAAATTCAAATACCTACATATCCAGGAAATTGCCTGGGTGAACTTCGGTGAATAATTCTCTTGCTCAGACAGATCTTTCCCATAGGACTGTTACGATGATAAAATGAGGTTGAGAAGAAGAAAAAAACATGTGCACTGCCCTGAGCTCATTGGATGAAAGGTGCCAGTCCCTGAGATAAAAGCATGGTATAAATATGATGATGATTTGCTGTAAAGCCAGCTTGCAAAGAGGAGGAGGAGGAGAAGTGTGATGAAATATTGTTTTGATACTACCTAATATCACAAGCTTGTTACACTTATGTTTTTAAAAAGGAATTATCTCTATTTGTCTGCCTCTCATTAGGATAAAATTGTTTTCTCCTTGCAGAAACATCTCTCAAATAGCTATTATCTACAGGTTCCATTGACAAACTGTGTCATGGCAACTTTA